ATATAATGTCTATACATTAGACAGGGTATACCTCTGTATAATGTCTATACATTAGACAGGGTATACCTCTGTATAATGTCTATACATTAGACAGGTTATACCTCTATATAATGTCTATACATTAGACAGGGTATACGTCTATACATTAGACAGGGTATACCTCTATATAATGTCTATACATTAGACAGGGTATACCTCTATATAATGTTTATATATTAGACAGGGTATACCTCTATATAATGTCTATACATTAGACAGGGTATACCTCTATATAATGTCTATACATTAGACAGGGTATACCTCTATATAATGTCTATACATTAGACAGGGTATACCTCTATATAATGTCTATACATTAGACAGGGTATACCTCTATATAATGTCTATACATTAGACAGTGTATACCTCTATATAATGTCTATACATTAGACAGGGTATACCTCTATATAATGTCTATACATTAGACAGGGTATACCTCTATATAATGTCTATACATTAGACAGGGTATACCTCTATATAATGTCTATACATTAGACAGGGTATACCTCTACATAATGTCTATACATTAGACAGGGTATACCTCTATATAATGTCTATACTGTAGACAGGGTATACCTCAATATAATGTCTATACTGTAGACATGTCTATAGTAGATGACCCCAACACCTCGGTCATTTGATGACCCCAACACCTGGGTCAGTTGATGACTTCAATGACTTGGTCAGTTGATGATCTCAACTCTATGGTCAGTAGATGACCTCAACACCTGGGTCAGTTGATGACCTCAATGACTTGGTCAGTTGATGACTTCAGCTCTATGGTCAGTAGATGACTTCAACACCTGGGTCAGTAGATGACCTCAATGACTTGGTCAGTTGATGACCTCAACTCTATGGTCAGTAGATGACCTCAACTCCTGGGTCAGTTGATGACCTCAACTCTATGGTCAGTATATGACTCCTACACCTAGGTCAGTTGATGACCTCTCAACACCTGGGTCAGTAGATGACCTCAACTCTATGGTCAGTAGATGACCTCAATGACTTTGTCAGTTGATGACCCCAAAACTGCTCAGTAAATGACCTCAACACCTCGGTCATTGATGACCTCAGTTCCTTGATCAGTAGATGACCCCAACACCTGGGTCAGTTGATAACCTCAGCACCTGGGTCAGTTGATGACCTCAACTCCTGGGTCAGTTGATGATTCCAACATGTTTGTCAATGGATGACCTAAACACTTAAGTCAACAGATGACCTGAACGACTTGGTCAGAAGATGACCTAAACACTTCAGTCAACAGATGACCTGAACGACTTGGTCAGAAGATGACCTAAACACTTCAGTCAACAGATGACCTGAACAACTTGGTCAAAAGATGACCTAAACACTTCAGATGACCTGAACAACAGATGAACTGAACAACTTGGTCAACTTGGTCAGAAGATGACCTAAACACTTCAGTCAACAGATGAACTGAACAACTTGGTCAGAAGATGACCTAAACACTTCAGTCAACAGATGAACTGAACAACTTGGTCAGAAGATGACCTAAACACTTCAGTCAACAGATGAACTGAACAACTTGGTCAGAAGATGACCTAAACACTTCAGTCAACAGATGACCTGAATGACTTGGTCAGAAGATGACCTAAACACTTCAGTCAACAGATGACCTGAATGACTTGGTCAGAAGATGACCTAAACACTTCAGTCAACAGATGACCTGAATGACTTGGTCAGAAGATGACCTAGCCATTCTGATCTGTAGATGATCTTAAGTCAGTGGATGATCATTATATATGAGCTGGGATGTGATCGTTCTGTAAGGTATGATTCCTATTTATTACAGCTAAAGTAGAGTTATTTATGTCTCTCTCTATAAATCAAATGTATGTCAATATATGTCTTATCTCACATATTTCTTGGTATTTGTCAGATACATTTAAATTTGTCAGATTAATTAAATGCAATTAATTATACCGCGTGTTACCTGTAGTTGAAGTCAAAACCTTGGCCCAGCCTATCACAAACCTCACCTCCTAACAGTGGTAGATAACGCCAAACCACAACTATTTATCACCAAATTTAAACTCTCTGATGCATCTCCCATTGGCTATATCATAGCTTCAAATAGGTCCTATTAGATATCTTACTTTTATAACCATAAATGGCTACTTATGTTTTATTACTAGATCTGCCATTCATTGATAAATCTGTGTCTCTATCTTGCTGCTGGGTGCACTTGATTAACGCTCTTCCTATGTCCAGATTATCAACTCTTTTATCTCTCAATTCAGAGTGAATTATGACATATAATAGCGATAATTTTAAAGTTTTCATGAAACATTAAAAACCTGAGAAACTCAAGGACCTTTACATGAAAAACAAACCAAAATGCATATGTTAAAGGTTGCAGGGTTCATGCACGAGTTCATTGGTACACCTGTGTTTAAGAATGAGGGAATCATGCACAAGTTTATCTGTACACTGGTTGTACCTAAGTGTGGGCACGACCTGCTGTACTATGATACACTCTTTTAGTAGTTATGGCAGCGCCATTTTTCACCTGTCACCACAGACCATTGTGTATTGAGTTTCATATGCTTGTTTATCTTATCTACGCACCATTATTACCCATTCAACACTCGGCAATTTGACGCCCGCTGTCTTCTTCTCTTACACAACAGTTACAATAGTCACAGGTCTTTGTTGAAAATACCGTGGTCGACATTGTTCTTGTAGTCTGACCGTCACTCCCGGTGTAAACTCATTTAGTAATTTGTCTTTTTTAACAATGAAAAATTCTTTCACATTCTTTGTCATATTTGTGTATAGAAGGGTGTATTTTATTTTGCACTTAATAACACCTCTGTAAACATATGAACAATCTAGAAAGTAATCGGTATTGCATTATTCTACCAATTATTTATCGGTTGGGTTTAGATCATTTCCAAAATCAGAAAAAGACAATTATGACAATAGTGAACTTGATCAAGTAAAGGAATACATTCATTGGACACAAAGTAATTTAACTACACCCTCACAGCAGTCACTCTATACATGCTCTTCATGAGCTCCATCTAATGTCAGTTTCAAAAAGTTACAAGTCAAAGGCCGAGGCATTGTTTTGCGTGCAGGCCTTGACATTTATTAAACAAATTGAAAATATTACCACTTTTCAGTGCTTAATCTACATCAAATTTACTTCATGAATTGTTTTTTTATCAGCTTACAGATAAATGGTCCACCTTGAATTTACTTCCTGAATTGTGTCTTTATCAGCTTACTGATAAATGGTCCACCTTGAAGTTACTTCCTGAATTGTGTCTTTATCGTTTTCTTGATGAATTGTCCACCTTGAATTTACTTCCTGAATTGTGTCTTTATCAGCTTACTGATAAATGGTCCACCTTGAATTTACTTCCTGAATTGTGTCTTTATCAGCTTACTGATAAATGGTCCACCTTGAATTTACTTCCTGAATTGTGTCTTTATCAGCTTACTGATAAATGGCTCAACTTATAATAGGTAAATTATCACTGCATGCTTCATTATTTTGTTTCCTTGAATGTTTAAGTTATATGAATATTTCATAAAAATTTGCAATCAAAAATTAATTTTAATATGTCTATTGTCTATGAATATTTTGACAGCACTGACAGCAGGCTACTGACAGACAGCATTTATCATTAACACTTGTCTTCTGTGTTTCCTGGGGCTTGTAGTCAAAAAGGACAGGCCTCGATTTAGTTGTTGCAGAAATTTCAATTATTTCTGTAATACTGTATAAGCAGAAATTTTCATCCCCAATTAAGTTTTGCCTTTTGTCATCCATTAACAGGGAGGGCAGATTTAAGATGGGGCAAAAAATTCACATAACTTATAAAACCCTTTTATATAATCTTCTGATGGTGAAATGAACACGAGGTGAATCTGTGTACAATGGTAAAAGTCGCAAATATGGTTAGTGTTACTATTTAATGTGAGAAAGGGGAAGATGCTCAACTCAAAGGAAACCAGGGAAAGATAACAAGAGATGAGGATATACCAAACCATGAAAGACAACTTAAGCTGAGGAGACACAGTAACAGAAGGAATGAAATCAGGCTAAAAGGATCACAGAAACTGAAGGCAAGCAGAGCTGTGGAGAGACACAGAAAACCAAGAACATTTAGGAGTTGCGGAAAGAGAACAAGAACTAAGAAAACCAAAATTGAAAGCAAGACAACAGGAACCCAGGAGGAAACAAACGGAAGGAAAGACAACAGGAACCCAGGAGGAAACAAACGGAAGGAAAGACAACAGGAACCCAGGAGGAAACAAACGGAAGGAAAGACAACAGGAACCCAGGAGGAAACAAACGGAATGAAAACAATAGGAGATAAGGGGACATGACAACAGAAGGAAAGACAACAGGAATCATGGAGACACCAAACCAGAAGGAAAGACAACAGGAATCAAAGAGACATCAAACCAGAAGGAAAGACAACAGGAATCATGGAGACACCAAACCAGAAGGAAAGACAACAGGAATCAAAGAGACATCAAACCAGAAGGAAAGACAACAGGAAGCATGGAGACACCAAAACAGAAGGAAAGACAACAGGAACTGAGGAGATGCCAAACCAGAAGGAAAGACAACAGGAATCATGGAGACACCAAACCAGAAGGAAAGACAACAGGAATCAAAGAGACATCAAACCAGAAGGAAAGACAACAGGAACTGAGGAGATGCCAAACCAGAAGGAAAGACAACAGGAATCAAAGAGACATCAAACCAGAAGGAAAGACTACAGGAACTGAGGAGATGCCAAACCAGAAGGAAAGATAACAGGAATCATGGAGACACCAAACCCGAAGGAAAGACAACAGGAATCAAAGAGACATCAAACCAGAAGGAAAGACAACAGGAACTGAGGAGATGCCAAACCAGAAGGAAAGACAACAGGAATCAAAGAGACATCAAACCAGAAGGAAAGACTACAGGAACTGAGGAGATGCCAAACCAGAAGGAAAGACAACAGGAAATGAGGAGACACCAAACCAGAAGGAAAGACAACAGGAATCAAGGAGACATCAAACCAGAAGGAAAGACAACAGGAATCAAGGAGACATCAAATCTGAAGGAAAGACAACAGGAAATGAGGAGACACCAAACCAGAAGGAAAGACAACAGGAATCAAGGAGACATCAAACCAGAAGGAAAGACAACAGGAATCAAGGAGACATCAAATCTGAAGGAAAGACAACAGGAAATGAGGAGACACCAAACCAGAAGGAAAGACAATAGGAATCAAGGAGACATCAAGCCAGAAGGAAAGACAACAGGAATCAGGGAGACATCAAATCTGAAGGAAAGACAACAGGAAGCATGGAGACACCAAACCAGAAGGAAAGACAACAGGAATCAAGGAGACATCAAATCTGAAGGAAAGACAACAGGAAGCATGGAGACACCAAACCAGAAGGAAAGACAACAGGAACTGAGGAGACGCCAAACCAGAAGGAAAGACAACAGGAATCAAGGAGACACCAAACTAGAAGGAAAGACAACAGGAACCATGGAGACATCAAACCAGAAGGAAAGACAACAGGAATCATGGAGACACCAAATCAGAAGGAAAGACAACAGGAACTGAAGAGATGCCAAATCAGAAGGAAAGACAACTGGAATCAAGGAGACACCAAACCAGAAGGAAAGACAACAGGAACTGAAGAGACACCAAGCCAGAAGGAAAGACAACAGGAATCAAGGAGACACCAAACCAGAAGGAAAGACAACAGGAATCAAGGAGACACCAAACCAGAAGGAAAGACAACAGGAACTGAGGAGATGCCAAACCAGAAGGAAAGACAACAGGAACTGTGGAGACGCCAAACCAGAAGGAAAGACAACAGGAACTGAGGAGATGCCAAACCAGAAGGAAAGACAACAGGAATCAAGGAGACACCAAACCAGAAGGAAAGACAACAGGAATCAAGGAGACACCAAACCAGAAGGAAAGACAACAGGAAATGAGGAGACACCAAACCAGAAGGAAAGACAACAGGAACCATGGACACATCAAACCAGAAGGAAAGACAACAGGAATCAAGGAGACATCAAATCTGAAGGAAAGACAACAGGAACTGAGGAGACGCCAAACCAGAAGGAAAGACAACAGGAAATGAGGAGACACCAATACAGATTCAATGATGACAGAAGCTGAAGAGATATCCTGTATCTTCACTGAAAATAACAGTAGGTGTCTAACCAAGATATACTCAGTACCTTGTGAATTATATATGTCCAGTTGTCAGTTTATTCTTAAATTAATTAATCATGAGTACTCAGTCATTCTGAACAGATGGTAGATAGTGTTTAGTGTCCAGTATCAGTAATACATATATATATATTGATGATCCTGTCATTTCTGTATTTATTTTCAGTACGAGTTGTGTGACACAATAACTCTATTTCGAGACTTGTGCCTATTAATTGATTTTAGAATTGATTTAAGGCTGGAGTTTCATGTTGTTAATCATCTGTCATGATATCCCTGATACTTACTAATGTATCATAACTTAAATGTTTATAGAGGATATTGAATTTACATCTAGATATCATACATTATCCATATACACCGATATCAGTTGTCACTTGACATCGCGTTGCAAAATTATAATGTAGTTTTCAATGATTTCTATAGAAAAACAATAGAAGTGGGACAGCACCTTAGTACAGATCAGTAACAGTATCATCATCATCGGTTCACCTTCTCACACTCAGTTGTCACATGCAATGGAGTCATTCCGTTCATTTTTATCATATACATGACAATATAGGACATGAATAGTTTTAGTTACCGCAATATTGATCTTGTAATTTCAGCTACATTTCAGATGATTTATGCAGTGCCAATAGATTGTCTGCTCTGTACAGGTGCGTAAATAGCATATTCTTGACTCCCATGATTAAGGACAATGTAAGGCCATCCATATCACATTGTTCTTTTTAACATTACGTATAGAAATTCTTTATTGTAGGAATCCCTTTGAAAATGTTCACTGCTAGTTAGAATTGAAAACCACAACCATCTACCAATTGGGCTGTTAGTGACCACAAAATGACTTGTTAAGTCTCCACAAATAGGGGGCCATATTGTTATAGTTAGGCAAAACCTCCACAAAGAGGGGCCCACCTTTTTGTAGTCAAGTTACACCATAACCAGGAGGGGGCTGATCGTTATTCAACCTTTCTTTCTCCTACTAATTTTTAGTCTTTCTACATTCCTAAAATAACATTTTTCTTTCATTTATATCATCATTCATTTTCATTCTTTCAATTATCTCACTTTTCCTTTAATGACTATACTTTATATATCTTTCTGTCTTTTCTCTCCCAGTTTCAACACGGTCAGTGATATTTTTGTTCTAAAAAAAAGTTTTATTACTTTGAATGATGTTTCTGTGATGTGTTGGGAGCTGGTTACCATCGGTTGTTCTGTGAAATGACGAACCTGTCTAATAAGCACAGAACAAACATATCCACTGACCTCATATACACTTACAAAGTTACACTCTTAGCTGGAGATGATTGCCATGTTTGAAGAAATTTCTCAATAACCTTCATACATACACCAATATGCCTGTTACATGGAAAAAGAGCTGTCTGCTTTCATTAATTGGGGATTGATGACGCACATGCCATGAGTTGTAAAAGATTTGGTATGGATGGGTAGAGATTCACTGTAGGAACAGCTAAATTTCACCAATATTGTACCTATAAGTGATATTATCATGAAGTCATTAGGATCGTTACCGACAGTTTAACTAGATTCTCAGCTAACAAGGATTCTAGTAATTGCCTCTTTTATCACTTTCTTGAACAAGTTCTTTAAAATGTAAATGTAAATTAGAAAAGTTTTAAAGCTGATTTAATTTCCTTTATTAAAATGTGTGCTGCAAACTTTCCCTAGTCAAACAAAGTTATCTTGGCATGGTGTTTTTTTTCTTTTTTTTATTGCTTGATAAGACTATCACATAATCTGTGTAAGTTTTAAGTGATCTGCGTGTTAATTACAGTGAGTATATATACAATTCTTAACTGTAGCTGGACTGTGGGAACAGTGTCTGGGCTATTGTGTTGTCAGGCAAAATATCAAAATGATATTATTCACACATTTACTTGTCAGTTATACAGTATTTATACATTACTTCTATACCCAAAATCTTAATAGAAATCTAGAAATTCAAGTAAAAATTTGTGCGGGGATTTTTTTTTCTGTAGGTTTGCTTTAAAATCACTTTAAATGTTATTGTAACATGTATATGGAGTTCAATATAACTGATGAACAATGCACTTTACAAGTCATTTTCATTTCTGTTCTTCAGTTCAGAATAATAATTAAAAACCGGAAACTCTACTGAGATATCATCCCAGGAATTTTTCCTCCAAGTGTTGGTTTGTAATAGATATGTCATTGAAATGCTAATTGGCTGTCCACTGAATGACATGGTCACAAAGCTTATACAGCTTAACATCAGCTGTACAGGGCTGGAGATTAAATGAATCAGAGTTTTCTTTAGACAAATTTGTTTTGAAATGTCATTATTAAATCACGGTGAAAAAAAACCGTATAATTTGAAATATTTTAAATCACAGCACAATATTTATTTTACACATTTCACAACTGGAATCAAATTCAGTTAAAAAATTGTTCTTATTAAATATTTTGATATAAATACAACCAATTACTTATGATGGTATCCCATTTTATAGTATATGAAATTGCAATTTTTACTTGGAAAATTATCTACCCAACTACCTTTTACAGAAATGAAAGCTTTAAAGAAAAATAGAGAGACCGAAAATTGATTTACAGCAAGTTACCTTAAAATCAGGATCCTTCTACTTACAATAATGTAAATAGAATTCTAAAATTGATAATTTTTTAGCCAATTAAAAAAATGTTTACCTTAATACTGTTTTAATCCAAATTTATCATTTTTCAATCCCTAGATAAATATTCATCTTTCATAACCAAAACTTTTTTCAAAAGTATAGAAAAGTTTATGAACCAAGACCTGATCAAGATTGTCCATTGACCACAATCACTTAACTTATGGTTGAAAAATAATCCTATCATTAAGTCAACCAGACTCGCGGTTTTCACAACCAATTCACTTAATGCTATCAAGATTAGTAAAGAGATCTTACAATAGATGTTAAGATATGTGACCCAAGAGAAGAGAATTTTAGTCTGGATGTTTTGAGGACATAATGGCTAGAAACAAAAGACTAGAACTCTCTGACCGTCAGTCTGTCTGTGGGTGGTTAGGGTGGATGACCACAGGTAAGATCAGCCTTGTGTGAAACCAGTGTTTCATATACCGGCATGCTACAGTCCTATTCAGAATATAGATCTTGATCAAGATAGGATCTTACTTATTACATATACTTAAGCTCTCATACTTGCTGCACCACAAATATTTTTTTGTATTCAATTTTTTAAATGATAAGGAACTTCCATATTTATGTTCACAACAGAAGTTCTTCTTTTTACAACAATGATAGTTTTGTTTCTAAATTATCAGAAAAGCTATCAGAAAACACTGGATATTACATGTTACTAGGTACAAATGATATGATGTTTTTATACTGATAAGTATTCTTTAAGCAGGGGCTGTTATGTTTTGTAACACAAATAAACTTCAAAGTGAATATTTCATCACCTATGCTGAGGTTTTATGTAAATACAATTTACAAAAAAGTATATTAATCCATTGCTTTGGCCCTGAAATACAAGCATTTCTAATATAATCCATTTAAATTAATTGCTTTGAAATCATTTTAAGGAGGTATGCTACCTCATTGTGTCGTTGTTTCAGAGAGTTTCATGTCAAGAAAAATAGATGACATGATCCCAGTTGATGATAAATTTGAAAGTACGCCAGAATAAGGTTTTGCAAGAACTATTTGTACTGGTGAAATTTATGTACACAAAAGCTTACATGTTGTGTAATGGTCAGGCGAATTAAAGTATTATGGGAGATAACTCTGAATTTAATTGCTTAGGCAAAATTTGAGGGTATCTTACATCCTTAAACCTGAAGTGAATAGGCTCAGTGCTAAAATTCATCTGCATTCCTTATTCAGGCTACCTGTGGACAAGAAGAAACTTAGAGGTGGGGAAAGTGGCTTTCTAAACTTCATACTAGTGAATTTGTTTAACATGAAACTTGAAAAAACTTAGTAGTGGTTAGGATATCTATTCCAGGAATGTAAATACATGTACTACATTTATAGCTGATTGAGGCTCCATTAGTTTTATATGGCCCAATCCCTTACATACCGTATTCAACTACACAAACATAGGCTTGCTTAAACACAATGTATGTGCTTTAGCAAACTATTTACAGGGATAAGTTTTATCCCTTCATAAAATGTGTTGAAATGTTGACTTTTGTAAAAAAAAAAAAAACAATTCCATCTTTTAACGTTAATTTCATCCTTATCAACATGTTTTTAACTGTATATGAGATTCATCCTTATTAACACACTTGGTGACTGGATATGAAATTCATCCTTATTAACATACTTGATGACTGGGTATGATATTTCTGATTAACATATTTGGTGACTGGATATGAAATTCATCCTTATTAACATACTTGGTGACTGGATATGAGATTCATCCTTATTAACATACTTGGTGACTGGATATGAGATTCATCCTTATTAACATACTTGGTGACTGGGTATGATATTTCTGATTAACATACTTGGTGACTGGATATGAAATTCATCCTTATTAACATACTTGGTGACTGGATATGAGATTCATCCTTATTAACATACTTGGTGACTGGATATGAGATTCATCCTTATTAACATACTTGGTGACTGGGTATGATATTTCTGATTAACATACTTGGTGACTGGATATGAAATTCATCCATATTAACATACTTGGTGACTGGGTATGATATTTCTGATTAACATACTTGGTGACTGGATATGAAATTCATCCTTATTAACATACTTGGTGACTGGATATGAGATTCATCCTTATTAACATACCTGGTGACTGGATATGAAAGCCAAAACCTAAATGGTTCAATATGATGTTTGTAGATCAATGAAGTCAGCAATCTTTATCAGGTTTTAATAAAACACACCAACACTTATTTCCAAATAAAAGGTGGGGAAGCAATTATTTCAAAGGTG